TCACGACATCAAAATGACGGGCGACTGGAGAACAGTCCTCAGGAATAATATTCCGCAGAGAAAGCAGAAGAATATCGAAGAGATTGCATACGAAGACTCATTGAGACGACAAAAATACAATCGATATATTAGACAACGAGGCAATGATAGGTTCATTTGATTTTGTTTGTATTTAATTCATGATTAATTTAAATTCATCAAATAAAATCATTTACTATTTTAATGACTTATTTGATTCCCTGAAACTAAATGAAAATCTTACATATGATTTATGTTTAGGGTATTTATTACCGATATATAAAATATATCTTTAAGTAAACGATATTTAATTGCACAAGTTTTTTTAATCAAAAGTTACTGTATTTGTAGTTATTTGTAAGTAATGTGTTGTCATTGCATAATGTGGTGACTTGTATTATATTACTGTATTTTTAATATAAAAGTTGTAAAACTTGTTTTTTATACGCGATTGTCATGTCTTCTATCAATATATGAAACGAGGAAATAATTGTGTATTAATTTATGTTATGTTTTGATTATATTTGAACAATTAATTGGTTTTTAAAAATGAGTGAAATCGACAATAAAAGAGACGATGTTTTAGCAAATTTGGATGATTTGGTCAAAAATGATTTGATTCCTAATGAATGGAAAGACACTATTTTGAATGATGTTCAGGTAAACATTGGAAATGTTAAACAAATTAGTTGAATTTGACATGATTGTCATTTTTATATTGTTAAATATGAATGATTTATAAATGAGTTGTGAATTAATAGATTTGATTTGAAGTTACAGAAACAAAACGGACCGCCAATTGAGTGTCCCTTTAGTGACGCCTATTACTACGGAATGTCACAGAAGTTTCGCAAAAGTAATAAATTCTCGCAAACGCTGTCATTACGCGAGTGTCTTATTAAAGCGATTAAAGTGTCCAATAATACTGAAAATGTTGACAAACTTTTAGACAATATATTATCTGAAAACGATTTAGAAAAGGATT